TTGTTACTTGCACAGACACAGAATTGTTACTCGCACAGACACAGAATTGTTACTCAGGGCCACAGAATTCATACTCAGGGACAGACAGAATTGTTACTGAGTGCCAGAGAATTGTTACTCAGGGACAGACAGAATTGTTACTGAGTGCCAGAGAATTGTTACTCAGGGACAGACAGAATTGTTACTGAGTGCCAGAGAATTGTTACTCGCACAGACACAAAATTGTTACTTGCACAGACACAGAATTGTTACTCGCACAGACACAGAATTGTTACTCGCACAGACACAGAATTGTTACTCAGGGCCACAGAATTCATACTCAGGGACAGACAGAATTGTTACTGAGTGCCAGAGAATTGTTACTCAGGGACACCTAATCGTTGAATTAAATAGTATGTGTCAGACAACATGCAGAGGAGTGGCAGAGGAGGCAATGTTTTAGGAGCGAGCAGACGTGGCAGCAGAGGAAGGGGTCGAGGCAGCAGTATTCGCAGCCAGAGGCCAGTGCTCCCGGTGTCATCCAGCGGTCGTGTCTCCACCGACAACCCTGCCGTCATTGATTGGTTGGCTCGGTCGTCTTCCTCTTCCCAGGTCACCTCTGACACCTACAGCCAACGGTCGGTGGGTACGTCAGACACAACCGTTAGTTGGCATGGCCCGGGACCAAGCCCACTGAAATCACGTGTCCTCTACCTGCCCCTGTCCTTTGCTGTTCCCTCACCAAGCGAAGTATCGCATGCTGTGGGCTCAGCCCCACTGTACAGTGAGGAAGAGCTAACAGAGGGCGGTCAGGAACGGGGGGAGACATCGGCCTTTTCAGCAGCCAAGCGAACAAGTACTGGCGAGGAGAGTGGCTCGGTAGCCGGTCTAGAGACAGGTCTGTCTCCTGACCCAGACGCAGCCGAGGGGGCTAGTAGTGAGGCGGAGACCCTACTTGATGATGAGGAGGTTGATCGCACTTGGCAGCCTCGTCGTCATCAGGCAATTTCTTCCGCATCATCAGGAGAAGAGGGTGGCAGCTTGGCAGCGAGCAAAACAGTCGGTGGGTTGCCCAGGACAGCAGCAGGGTCGCATCAGTGTCAGTGGAGCCAAACGTCCACGGAGTAGAGCACCAGCTCCACTGCAGCCTACCACCACGGCCAGTAGTGGTGCCGGTGCGCACACGGAGGAAGTAGCAGTCAGCCAGTGAAGAGTAGCGGGGGCAAAGTTTCCTACTCGGTGGTGTGGCAATTTTTCCTCAAGCCGCCCGAGGAAGTAAACGTAGCCGTATGTCGACTATGTGGCCAGAAATGCAAGCGTGGCCAGGGGGCCCATGTTGGGACTACAGCGTTGCGTCAGCATATGCAGCGTCACCATTCGGTGGCCTGGGAAAACCGTGATAAACATACGGCGGTTCTGCCTGCCCCAGCCCCCGCTCCATCACCCGCTCCGTTACTTGCTCCGTCACCCGACGTCGTCAATCGCCCTCTATCAGCCAGTCAAGGCTCCAACACCTCTGCTGAGGGGAGTTGTCGCTCGTTGGCATCTTCCGCTCGTTCAGATGCTCCTTCTCCTGCTACTCCTCTTCTCTTCTCGGATCCGTCAACAGTCTTTCTTGGAATCCGTATCCAAGAGACAACAGTTTGCGAGCACGCACCCGACGGTGCAAAAGCTGAACGTCCTCCTGTCCAAGTTGCTGGTGCTGCAGTCCCTCCCTTTTCCAACTGGTGGACTCAGCACCTTTCCGAGAAATGATGGCTTGTGCCGCGCCGCGGTGGAGAGTGCCAAGCCGTCATTTCTTTGCCCAAAAGGCAGTGCCAGCCCTGCATTCACATGTAGAAGAGATGGTGGGCCAGTCTTTGAGCATGTCGGTCTCTGCCAAAGTGCACGGCAGCGCCGACGTGTGGAGCTGTAACTACGGTCAGGGACAGTACATGTCATTTACGGCCCACTGGGTGAACGTGGTGCCGGCACAGCCGCACCAGCAACTTGGACAGGTCACGACGCTTTTGCCTCCACGTTTGCACGTCCTTGGTCCAGCAAGCATGTCCGCCTCTACCACCTCTTTTTCCGCCGTGTCCTCAGCCGCCACCCCCGTGCCAAGTCCCATACCCGACCGGCATATCACATGTGCAGGGCGCAACGGTGTCACGCTGTGCTGCACCTGGTATGCCTTGGCGAACGTAGTCACACAGGGGAGGAACTGCTGAGTGTAATGAACAGAGAAATCGACAGATGGCTGTCTCCGCGCAAACTAAAAATCGGAACCATGTTGACTGACAACGGAAAGAACATGGTGTCTGCTCTGCGTCAAGGAAGGTTGTGCCATGCGCCATGCATGGCTCACGTGTTCAATCTGGTTGTCAAGCGGTTCCTAAAATCCACCATCCCACTGCAAGACATCCTTAAAATGTCACGTAAACTGTGCATGCATTTCAGCCATTCCTACACCGCAAAGAAGAACACCCTCATTGAGCTGCAGCGGCAGAACGGAATTCCACAGCATCGCCTGATCTGCGACGTTGCAACAAGGTGGAATTCAACCCTACACATGTTAGACCGCCTTTACGAGCAGCGAAAGGCCATCACCGATTTCCTGATGTTACAAGCGGATAAAGGTACTCCCCTGTGTAACTTAGATGTCAGCCATTGGCAGCTCATGCGTGACACCTGCCGCTTGCTCAGGCCCTTTGAGGAGGCCACGCTATTCGTGAGTCGGCAGGACTATGGGATGAACGACGTCATTCCTCTGTTGCACGTCCTGGAACAAATGCTGTTAACAATGGCTGGTCAGGGTGCGGTAGACGTGGCGCACAGATCTCAACGCCACATGACCCCTGTGGGGGCAGGACAGGAAGAAGAGGAGGAGGTAGAGGAGGACATTTGTGCTCAGGAATTATTGAGTGAAATGGGTGGTTTTTCCACTCAGCGGACAGGAGTGGAGGAGCAGGAGCATCTGGTAGAGGAGGAGGAGGAGGAGGAGACAGAGGACCCAGACGCACCGTGGCAGTATGCTGTGGAGATGGAGGCAGGGAGTCCCTCGCATTCCTTGGCACAAATGGCCCATAGCATGCTCGGTTGCTTGCGTAGCGACAGCCGAATAATAACCATCAGACAGAGGGATGACTTTTGGCTGTCCACCTTGTTGGACCCTCGCTACCGGTCCAAAATGGTGGCCTTTTTCACACCTGCTGAGAGGGAGGCCAAAATTACGTACTATAAAAAACCACCTATGTAGTCAGTTGGTCTCTGCCTTTGTGCGCCAACGTCCATCCTCAGACACTGTGGGCCCTGTGCGCTCGCGTTCCGCTGGCATGGCAGCAGGGGAGGGGTGGGGTGGTAGGAGCAGTGGCAGCTCCACCAGCAGCGGCTGCCTCAGTCTGCAGTCGATGATGAGTAGCTTTCTTCACCAGCGCAGTGAGGAAACTACTAACCAGCCGCAGCAGCAGCAGCAGCATCAGGTGGACCTGGAGCAGGAGCTCAAACAACAGGCTTGGGCCTACTTGGACAGCACCCTGCCAACCGAGGTAGACAATCCCCTTGACTACTGGGCAACGAAACTTGACCTTTGGCCCCAACTAGCTGAATTTGCCCTTGAAAGGCTGTCATGCCCGGCCAGTAGCGTGGCATCGGAGCGCGTGTTTAGTGCGGCAGGAGGTATTGTAACTCCGCGGAGGACACGACTGTCCACCCAAAGTGTGGAGAGACTCACGTTTGTGAAAATGAATCAGGCGTGGATTAGTCTGGATTTCAAACCACCAGTTCCTGACACAACTGACTAAATCCGCCATGAATCATGCCTCAAACATGTGCCACTTTCAGGTCTCCTCACACTGCTGGTGTGTTTAATTTTTTGACATAGGGTGCTGGCAGATTACGGGCCTCCTATAGCTGCTGCCAGGCCCCTAATCTGCCATAGGCCCCTATATACCGCCTCCTCATGCTGCTGCTAGGTCCAGAGTCTCTCATGGGTCCCTGTACGGCCTCCCATTGCTGCTGTCTCCATCGCCACACTCTGCTGCCATGTGCCACTTTCAGGTCTCTTCACACTGCTGGTGTGTTTAATTTTTTGACATAGGGTGCAGGCAGATTACGGGCCCTCACATAGCTGCTGCCAGGCCCCTAATCTGCCATGGGCCCCTATATACCGCCTCCTCATGCTGCTGCCAAGTCCAGAGTCTCTCATGGGTCCCTGTACGGCCTCCCATTGCTGCTGTCTCCATCGCCACACTCTGCTGCCATGTGCCACTTTCAGGTCTCTTCACACTGCTGGTGTGTTTAATTTTTTGACATAGGGTGCAGGCAGATTACGGGCCTCACATAGCTGCTGCCAGGCCCCTAATCTGCCATGGGCCCCTATATACCGCCTCCTCATGCTGCTGCCAAGTCCAGAGTCTCTCATGGGTCCCTGTACGGCCTCCCATTGCTGCTGTCTCCATCGCCACACTCTGCTGCCATGTGCCACTTTCAGGTCTCTTCACACTGCTGGTGTGTTAAATTTTTTGACATAGGGTGCAGGCAGATTACGGGCCTCACATAGCTGCTGCCAGGCCCCTAATCTGCCATGGGCCCCTATATACCGCCTCCTCATGCTGCTGCCAAAGTCTAGAGTCTCTCATGGGTCCCTGTACGGCCTCCCATTGCTGCTGTCTCCATCGCCACACTCTGCTGCCATGTGCCACTTTCAGGTCTCTTCACACTGCTGGTGTGTTTAATTTTTTGACATAGGGTGCAGGCAGATTACGGGCCTCACATAGCTGCTGCCAGGCCCCTAATCTGCCATGGGCCCCTATATACCGCCTCCTCATGCTGCTGCCAAGTCCAGAGTCTCTCATGGGTCCCTGTACGGCCTCCCATTGCTGCTGTCTCCATCGCCACACTCTGCTGCCATGTGCCACTTTCAGGTCTCTTCACACTGCTGGTGTGTTTAAATTTTTTGACATAGGGTGCAGGCAGATTACGGGCCTCACATAGCTGCTGCCAGGCCCCTAATCTGCCATGGGCCCCTATATACCGCCTCCTCATGCTGCTGCCAAGTCCAGAGTCTCTCATGGGTCCCTGTACGGCCTCCCATTGCTGCTGTCTCCATCGCCACACTCTGCTGCCATGTGCCACTTTCAGGTCTCTTCACACTGCTGGTGTGTTTAATTTTTTGACATAGGGTGCAGGCAGATTACGGGCCTCACATAGCTGCTGCCAGGCCCCTAATCTGCCATGGGCCCCTATATACCGCCTCCTCATGCTGCTGCCAAGTCCAGAGTCTCTCATGGGTCCCTGTACGGCCTCCCATTGCTGCTGTCTCCATCGCCACACTCTGCTGCCATGTGCCACTTTCAGGTCTCTTCACACTGCTGGTGTGTTTAAATTTTTTTGACATAGGGTGCAGGCAGATTACGGGCCTCACATAGCTGCTGCCAGGCCCCTAATCTGCCATGGGCCCCTATATACCGCCTCCTCATGCTGCTGCCAAGTCCAGAGTCTCTCATGGGTCCCTGTACGGCCTCCCATTGCTGCTGTCTCCATCGCCACACTCTGCTGCCATGTGCCACTTTCAGGTCTCTTCACACTGCTGGTGTGTTAAATTTTTTGACATAGGGTGCAGGCAGATTACGGGCCTCACATAGCTGCTGCCAGGCCCCTAATCTGCCATGGGCCCCTATATACCCTCCTCCTCATGCTGCTGCCAAGTCCAGAGTCTCATGGGTCCCTGTACGGCCTCCCATTGCTGCTGTCTCCATCGCCACACTCTGCTGCCATGTGCCACTTTCAGGTCTCTTCACACTGCTGGTGTGTTAAATTTTTTGACATAGGGTGCAGGCAGATTACGGGCCTCACATAGCTGCTGCCAGGCCCCTAATCTGCCATGGGCCCCTATATACCGCCTCCTCATGCTGCTGCCAAGTCTAGAGTCTCTCATGGGTCCCTGTACGGCCTCCCATTGCTGCTGTCTCCATCGCCACACTCTGCTGCCATGTGCCACTTTCAGGTCTCTTCACACTGCTGGTGTGTTAAATTTTTGACATAGGGTGCAGGCAGATTACGGGCCTCACATAGCTGCTGCCAGGCCCCTAATCTGCCATGGGCCCCTATATACCGCCCCCCATGCTGCTGCCAAGTCTAGAGAGTCTCTCATGGGTCCCTGTACGGCCTCCCATTGCTGCTGTCTCCATCGCCACACTCTGCTGCCATGTGCCACTTTCAGGTCTCTTCACACTGCTGGTGTGTTAAATTTTTTGACATAGGGTGCAGGCAGATTACGGGCCTCACATAGCTGCTGCCAGGCCCCTAATCTGCCATGGGCCCCTATATACCGCCTCCTCATGCTGCTGCCAAGTCCAGAGTCTCTCATGGGTCCCTGTACGGCCTCCCATTGCTGCTGTCTCCATCGCCACACTCTGCTGCCATGTGCCACTTTCAGGTCTCTTCACACTGCTGGTGTGTTTAATTTTTTGACATAGGGTGCAGGCAGATTACGGGCCTCACATAGCTGCTGCCAGGCCCCTAATCTGCCATGGGCCCCTATATACCGCCTCCTCATGCTGCTGCCAAGTCCAGAGTCTCTCATGGGTCCCTGTACGGCCTCCCATTGCTGCTGTCTCCATCCATCCACACTCTGCTGCCCATGTGCCACTTTCAGGTCTCTTCACACTGCTGGTGTGTTAAATTTTTTGACATAGGGTGCAGGCAGATTACGGGCCTCACATAGCTGCTGCCAGGCCCCTAATCTGCCATGGGCCCCTATATACCGCCTCCTCATGCTGCTGCCAAGTCCAGAGTCTCTCATGGGTCCCTGTACGGCCTCCCATTGCTGCTGTCTCCATCGCCACACTCTGCTGCCATGTGCCACTTTCAGGTCTCTTCACACTGCTGGTGTTTAAATTTTTTGACATAGGGTGCAGCAGATTTACGGGCCTCACATAGCTGCTGCCAGGCCCCTAATCTGCCATGGGCCCCTATATACCGCCTCCTCATGCTGCTGCCAAGTCCAGAGTCTCTCATGGGTCCCTGTACGGCCTCCCATTGCTGCTGTCTCCATCGCCACACTCTGCTGCCATGTGCCACTTTCAGGTCTCTTCACACTGCTGGTGTGTTAAATTTTTTGACATCTAATCTGCCATGGGCCCCTATATACCGCCTCTCCTCATGCTGCTGCCAAGTCCAGAGTCTCTCATGGGTCCCTGTACGGCCTCCCATTGCTGCTGTCTCCATCGCCACACTCTGCTGCCATGTGCCACTTTCAGGTCTCTTCACACTGCTGGTGTGTTAAATTTTTTGACATAGGGTGCAGGCAGATTACGGGCCTCACATAG